CAGATTCTTAATACTTCAAAATATAGTTTCCTTTACTTTAAATAGTTAACTATAATCTTATTCTCTTATACTAAATATCTTAAGTTACAAAAATTAATTTTCATTACAAAAATATTTCCTTAAATCTACCATAATATTTAAATAGTTGCAAAAATATAGTTACCTGAATTAATTCACTACATGAAATCATATAAATAATTTTTGAAAATATCGAAATAGAGGACATATAAAAGTTAATCTTTTTCTTCCCTCCCCCAAACTTAAATTTTTAAATATGAAATAATACTGGTGGAAAGAAAAACTATAAATATAAATCATACCTCAGTATTGTCGGCATTTTCATCATTTTGAACTTTCTACAGGCCTTCTCAAATTTGTACTTCACCTGGTCTGTAATATTAGGAGTTTTCTACACATATAAATCATTAGATGAATTTTTTGGTAATGAAATTTTGAAACATGTATAAAACTGAAACATTAAATAAGCACAACATTTTCTAACATAAACACAATACTAAACAATTAAAACTAAAATGTGAAACGAAAATCACATTACAATCCACAATTCTACTCAACATCTATTAAACTACACATGCAAATTCAACTACAATACTAAATTTATAACAAAAATTAAAATTATCCAAGTACAACATAATAATAAAAATGAAACCCGACTATAAAATTACTTCATCTTTGTGTGTGCGCTATGATGGTCTAAAACCCGACTATAATGTCATGTCACTCAACGAGGATGCTCTGCATGTGTTGCATCAAAACTAGATGCCAAAATTGGGAGGAGCGAGTGGATGGAGGACTGAGAGTTCTTTTGGTCTCCCTAAGTTGTGATCTCATGGTTGCCTCACCAGCTAGCTCTAGTCCCGACCTCATCGTGAGGATTTTAAGAAAAATCGAGAGAGGGAATGATATGTAGGCAAGGGTTTCGACTGCAAGAGGGAAAATCAAATATATGTGGGGTTTTTCAATCTTGAGAGGGGAAAGAAGATAGGCACACAAAAAAATTAGGGGTTTTTTGGGCATCATGGGGTTGCTTGGCCTTTTATGCTCTCTTAGCATTCTTATTCTCCCTTGTTCAAAGATCAAGTGGTGGAGAATGAAAGAGGGGATTGAATGAGATGACTTGAATTACATTTGCAGTTGGTTTTGGTTTATCTTGCATTTGAATGGTTCAAGAAGCTTCAATATGGTGGCTTGATTTCATTTATATTATGCTTAATTTTAATTCAGTTTTTTTATTGATGAGATTTTACACAATATTTAATTTTAATTATGCCAAATTTAGATTTAAGCTTCGTTTCAAGTACGTACACGTTTTATTTCATCTTTATATTAAATGAATTAGATTAAATTTATCTTTAAAATCTAAATTTATATTTTGACAAGGTTTAGTTTTAGAAGCGCACACACAAAGATATATATTATACACCATTCAATAGAATAGAAAAAGCAGTATGCACATAAATATTTCTTTGATTTCATATGTTCGGTTTGTTTTAATTTTAATTATTGTTTCTGTTTTAATTTTCTTTTTATTTATATTTAATTTTAGTTCCAGTATTTATATTAGGTTATATTTCATGTTCAAGTTTAAATTTAATATGTTTAGCTATAGATTTTAATTTTGTTTGTTTGTTTCATTTAACTTAATTTAAGATTCAAGTTTGATTAAGTATGGTTTAACTTAAGTATAAATTCAATTTAATTTCAAATGTTAGTGTAGCTTTATGTTGAGATTTATAAATTTAGGTTAATTTAAATTTGTGTTTGGTTCTTTTTTTTTTTTTTTAGTTTGTTAATATCAATGTTTTAAATTTTAAATTTTAGTTGCCATGAATTTTGGTTAACTTTAATTTAGGTTTTACTTTGATTTTAATGATTTTAATGAATTTGATTTTGGGCTTTAATTTTGACTGTACTTGTTGATTTGATGATTTAAGTTTGGTGTCCTCTAATTTTGTTTTTGTTTGACTTGATAATTTGGTGAAATTTGATTTTACCTTGTAACTTAATTTGTGATTTCAAATTTTAATGGTTTCAATTAATTATAATTATTTTATCTCTTCACTTATTAAAAGATAATTATTTTGACTTAAGATAAGTCTCACACCCAATGTCCTCTTTATAAACCGAAAAAAGAGTTATCAAAAGAATTTGTGAATGAGAAATGTAGAGTTAGTGGCCAAAAGAAGGCCTAAGTCTTTAGGTTCAAAGGGTTCAAAGTGTTACTTAAGACTTCTTCACTCCTATAGAAACTCAACACGGGTGTTGAAGACTCAAAAAGTTGTGATAAAGCAAGTCAATCGTATCACATAAGTATATATGTCAAATAATAATGTGGATTCAGAGTACCACGTATCGATCCCATGAGGAAATAACTAAGAAATATTTCAACAGGTGAATTGCTAGTTTATTAAATGTTTAAGCCTAGTTTAGTGTGATCACAAACATGAATTGAATTCCTCCAACCCTGCTCACAAATAGAAATCAAAAGCATGAGTTGAAAAATCTATAAAATATCAAAAGGATAAATCTTACGATTCTTCAAGAGAGATGAGACTCACGTCTCTCTGATTTACGTGTCGTGGTAGTTTGTGGTTTTCTTAGATTTTTCCCTACGTGATAGTTGTCAACATGAATAAAATGTTCTTCTTAAGCCTATGCCTAAATTAGAAAAAGAATCATAAATCTATGAAGTTAAGTTTCGCTTAACCCCATGAAGTTTTTCAGGATTATTCTGATCCCTTTTCTATGTTACAAAATTATAATAGAATATGCCTGTTCTTACAAGGATTTTTTGGTTAACCCATTCGTTCCTTTACGCTATGGGCAGAAGTCGTAGATCACCAAAGATGTTGACATACTATCTGACCAAATCATAAGTAAATGAAATCCAAAGAATAACATAATAACTTTCGTATGAAAGCTCAAAAACTGTCATGGGAGAAAAAATTCGAGAAAACCACAAAACCACGAGACATGAAAAAGAACTTAGCTACTCATGATTGAAGGAACGTCAAAAAACAAGTCCATAAAATTTATTATTGCAAGAAAAACTTGAAAGTAAATACTTACAAAATAATTTGTCCTCTCTACCACAGCAGAAGCTCTCCCTCTCATATAATCTTCTCTCCCAATTAGTAACAAAAAATAAAAACAAAAAGAGGAAAAACAACCCTTAGGACCTCAACCACAAGCAAGGAAGAAAGACCCTAAGGAGAAGCTCTCTCTCTCTCCAAGTCCCTCAATCTCTACCTTTAACCGTCCATAATGATCCAAGCTTTCTCAAAGCTACCCTAAAAACTGTTTTTATAGCCATGGTTTAGGATTTAGCAAGAAATTTCTTCGCAAAAAAAATTTTTACTTGGTCGACGTGGTTACGCCCAAACTTGGCATGGTTGCATCCGATTTATGAATCGGGCGGTGTGGTCACACCTGATATTTACGTAGTCACGACACCTTATTGATCGCGTGGCGTGGCCACACCTGATCTGTGCGAGATCATGCCACTGCCTTTAATAAGCGACATGGTTTCACCCATATAAGACGTGGTCAAGCCAGTTCTAACAGTCTCAACCTTGGTTTTTCTCTTTCTAAAATGCATGTTTGATCTCTTGTAACATACATATTACCAATAAAAATATTCCACAAACATAAATCCATGATAATTAAACCAAAACAATGGATAAAAAGTTGTGTCAGATGCAATAGAAATTGTGTAAAATTGACTCATGTCATGTGTTAAATGACTTAACTCTAAGTCGCTCAACCAAAGCTTAAGGGTTTGAAGTCAAGCATATGGAATCACAAGAAGTGAAGACATGTTTAAAATTCTATTTGGGTATTGGTTTTACCAGTAGTACTCTAGGAGAGTCACTGAGAAATCTGAAGACTAGATCCTAAACTCTTGAGAGAGAAAAGATAGAATAGACCTTAAACAAAAATAAGGTCAACAAAAAGACTATCAAGAATTTCAAGCACCCAAAATGAATCCAGATCATTACAAAATCTTATATATTGGAAGATGAAAGCATGTACAAGTGAGAACAGCAGAGCATGAACACTTCACAGACATAAAAATTATAAGGTAACTAAATATTAAGACTATAAAAATTATTCAATAAACACTTGAGAATAAGGAATGAAAAACAAAAAATAAGATAGATAAAATTGGAACCGCAAATAAGAATCAAACTTGGAGGATATTACAAGTTTTGTCAGAAGGAAAAAAAATAATAATTAAGGGCCGTTTGTGGCAGCTTAAAAGCACGGCGGTGTTTTTTGAAAACGACCTCATACTTTCGAGTTTTTTTTTTTTTTTTTTTTTTAGCATTTTTAAAAACTACATTTTACTGTTTAGGGTGAACACGGACCGGGGCTGTACCTGCATATCGCGTTCGCACACCAGTTTCTCCACCCCTGCCCTCGCTAACCCCCATCGTCGCCTTCCCGTCGCTCACGTATTTCGCCGAGAAGGTGCTTTCCTCTGGTAAAAAAATTCGTCCTCCCTCCTCTCCTCCCTCCTTCCTCTCCTCTCCTCTCCTCTCCTCTCCTCCCTCTCCTCCCTCTCCTCCCCCATTGCCGAAAACCCCTATTTCGGCTAGAAGGTGCTCTCCTCTGGTAAAAAGATCTGTGGCAATCTTGACTACCTATCTTGCAAATGTTTTTCTTTATGCCGAGAAGGTTTCTTTCTGGATCTATGTGTTTCTGTTTCAACCAATTATTGCTTAAATGGTGATAGTTGGCAGTGTTGGCTAGGTTTATAATTGATCCTCTATCTTTCCGGAATCAGAAATGTTCTCTTTCTTGTATGTACGTATTCACAAAGATTGAGCCTGATTCTTTTCATGATAAGCTATTTAAAAAATATGCTTGTAATTGTTGTTCCAATATACGTTCCACATCAGGAGTAATTACATTTTATGCTAAAAATTGATACTTGAATAGCTTTGTAATTATGGAGAGCTGTGTAGTTTTAAGGGACAAATAATGCTTTGTAGGTCAGAAATGAATGAAAGGGTAAAGATGCTTGCTGTGTTCGAAGGTGGTAATATGATTTTTTATTATCTTATTTGTTGTCAGGGAGGTGAAATATTCCTAGCTTGGAATAGTATACCCTGCTAATGCCAGGGAGGTGTAATATTACTTTCATATTTTTTGTTGCTATATATCCTGCTTAGTCGATCCTATTAGAGAGCTTCATATAGAAAATTGGGATGTTGATTAATGGCATGATTGGTGAAATACCGTGTGCAATCTAATTGGCCAATTCTTAGTTATTATATTTCATGACATTAATCTGGAGGATATTTAAAGTTGATTTTTTTTTTTAATTTGTGCAATTGGTTGCTTCGGTTGAAGTATACATATGATGTGATGTGACAAAATATGAGTGATGTTTGTTGTATGCATCGGGTAACTTGTACTGGGGTATTGGGTCAGCAACTCCCATTTAGGTGAGATGGCTGGCCTTTTCTCCCCACTTCTCTCTCTCCCACCCTCTTTCTCTCCCTCTCCCCCTATCTCCCTGCGGAGCAGCTTGGATGGCCACAAAACTTCGTTGTCTGCAAAAGTTGCCTCCACATTTGGTAAGTAGATTTTCTTTATTTTCTATATTTTTTAATGATATATTATTTTTTTAATAATCGCAGGACGATGAGCTCCAGGTATTCAGGGAAGTCCGGGCAAGTGATGTGGTGCTGCAAAAATGTCGTCCTTGCTACTCACTTCACGCGAATAACATAGCTACAAGCGACAGTTCTATAGGTGCCCAAGGTGAAAACACGAAATGAACAACTGCGACTTCTTCATGTGGGCAGAAAACCCTCGGATTCTACGTTGTCCCAATCAGACAACGTTGCATGGGATTCGTCGGTGTCACAATCGGAGATCATTACATGTGGGTCTAGTGCTTCCCAACCGCATAATGTTGCTCGGGATTTGATCGGCACCAACCGAGCAACAGTTCTCATGAGATGTTACTGTTACATTTTAAATTGAATGTTATAGTCATATTATCAATTGTAGTTTCAATATGTATTTTTGTTTTAATTTAATATCTTGAACTCTATTTTAAGTGAAGTGGTTTGCAAAATTTTGTATTGTTATGAAATTATAAACTTGTCAATCAACAAATCTATATATATGTGTCAGTACTTTGTGTTAATTGTGTAATAAAATAAAGGTTATAAGAAGTTTTTCACTTTGGTTTCTTCAGCTCCAACTGCATATTTCCTTCTATTTGAGTTTACTTTCTTTTTATTCTCTCTCTTTGGGAAGACTTCTTCGTTTCACCTAAATTTTATTTGTTAATAAAATGACTCATGTAGCTTATATATTTTAAGTGTTGCGACATGTAATTTTGTTAATAAATTAAATTTCAATTAATTTATTTTATAATTAGTGTAAAATGTAAATTATATAATAGAATTTATATTGCACAGAATTTAAAAATAATTTTTTGAAAATTAAAATTTATAGTATTTGAATGGTCTTTTATTTACAAAAATTTGCAAATCAGTTGTTTTTCAAAAGCACAAAACAAACAACTAAACAGTTAATCCAGAACAAGAGCAGAATAGTCATTTATCTAGAATCAGTTGTTTTCCAAACGTAAAAACGGAAAAGTCAGTCAGCTTATCCGGATATGCTGCTCATCGGCAGATTATCAGGATAACCTGCTTATCAACATAAGTTGGATAAGCTGCGGATACCCTGCACAGGCCCTAAGATGTAAATAGACATAAAATTAGAACCATCAAATAAGAAGACACCTGTGTAGCACACCGAAAGACATACCGTAGGCGACTGACGTTTGGTTTGAGAAAAGAATGGGAGAGGTGGCTTGCATTCGTGGTCGTCTGGCTTTGGGGCTAATGGGGTCATCTGACAAAGTGGAGAACGGAAGAGAGGCGTTCGACATGAGCTCAGAACGAAAGAGAGGTTGTGGGCTTCGGCGGGATCATCTAGCGAAGAGAAGTTGCATGCCGAATGGGTCAAGAAGACGAGAAGCTCTAGGCTTGGAGAAGGAGCCACGGGTGCTCGGGCACGAACGAGGGAGAACCACGAAAAAACTACGAAAAATGTCGGGATTTGAGTAATGAGCCTCAAACGTGGTTTGCGAACGATAGTGGCGAAAAAAACCATCCAAACAGTACCCAGTTCTGAACCGACCGCGATCCAAAAACTCCGTGCATTGGCGGTCTGAATTTTTTTTAAAAAAAAATTGTATATCCACAACTATTTATTCAAATAACTGCAAGAACTCTAAACAAATCTTAAGGGCACAACTTTCTCTGCACGGTGCGGAGCCAGGCCGTAGTTTGACACTGTTTGGCACGGGGTATCACTCGCGACCGTCGCGAATCCGGGTGAAATGCTGACCGTGGGTGAGACCCTGCGGCCTGCGTTACCGCTCTACTTTTTTACTCTCGTACCCCTAATTTCTCCTTTGTTAGTTCTCTCACGTTTTTTACTGCTCCGCGCTCCGTCGAGTGTGACCTTCCGCTGCCCTAACTGTAATTCTGGAGATCTTTTCTTTCCGGCATAACTATTCTCAACCAATGTTTTCTTTGAGAAATCTCTCGTTTATTGTGGATTTGCATGGTGTAGTTTTTCTATTTCTTATCCTTTATCTATGTTAAAGAATGTTCATGCAAAGCAAATTACAAATGATATGCTTAGCCATCAGATCCATAAGACATCTCTAGCTCATCAATTTTTTGGAGAATCTTGATGCAAAGAGCCATTTCTTTCAATAAGTCAGATGAAGCATATGCCTCAATAATATACAGAGACTCATAAATGAGGCAGTCAAGTAGACAGCCTCTGAATAATGTGTTGCAGGCCATTCTACGCTTACATATTGTTACCTCTATAGGGTATATAGCAAGAAAATTGTGTGTGATAGAGCAACAGAACTTGGTTGCCACCATTGCGATTCTCGCTTCAGACAAGAATCGACAGTTCTTGTCTGTTAGAGCATGCTCATGAAAACTGAATTGCAAAATGTTATGCTTAGAGATGTTCTCTTTTTTTCAATGACACACACACACCCATAATGAGGCAGTAAAGTAGATAGCCTCTGCATAATTTGATGCATTCCATTTTATGCTTATACATGGATACCCCTTTGGGAAATACAGTAAGAAGATTGTTTATGGTAGGGCAACAGAACTTTTTTGCCACCATTCTTATTGACACTCCTATGAAACTTCAACTATTCTTGTTATGCTTACAGAATCTCCTCTTTTCAATAACACACACACACACATAAATGAGGCAGTCAAGTAGATTGCCTCTGAATAATTTCTTCCATGCTATGCTATGCTTATATACTGATACCCCTCTGGGGTATATAATAACAAAATTATGTATGATAGGCAACAGAACTTGGTTGCCAGCATTCTTATTCTCACTGCTATGACACATCAGTAGTTGATGTCATGTTTGACAATGCTCATGCAAATTGAATTGCAAAATGTTATGCTTTGAGAAGTTATCCTAACAGCAGTAAAATAGATATATTCTGAATAATTTGTTCCATGGCAAAGTATGCTTAGATACTCATACTCCACTGGGGCATGTATTGTGAAAGGGCAACAGAACTTCATTGCCTTTACTGTGATTCTTACTCACATGAAACATCGAAGCGCCCCCATGTGGAGAGTAGGAAAAAGGGTGGACCTACTTCTATCATAAACCAGATATCATACCTAATGGGTTCTTCCAATGACGCCCCCCATAGAGTTCAAAAAACTTCTATTAACTAAGTCGTGTAAATTTTAGAGGAAGATCAGGACATTGCAGAGGATTTTGATATATTATTCTTTGTTGTGGAGCTGCTCCATGTTTTGGTCCAAAGAGACTTTTTCACAGCAATTGCCAAAGAAGGTGGCATATCTACGCCATTTCTATGCTCGCAGGGACAAATGATAAAACATTTTGCCCCAATAATTTCATTGCTTATTTGTTAGGACATTTCAAGTGTGCTATTTTCTTAGAGACATTTTTATTTCATCGCTTGTTTATTGAGACATTTTACTCCAATAATCTATCTAGTCCTATTCTGTTTGTTTTACGTCACCTTCATATCTTTTAACAATGTTTGCGTAGTGTTTTAGTACGTATTTAATAATCTTTATTTCTGAATTTGGCAATATGTGTACAGTTTATATCGGTATGGACCCAGAGCAAGAACGACAGAGAAAAATAAATGCAACAATCAACTTGCTCGTAGAGTATTACAACACATACATTGACCGCCCTCCGTGTTACGCATCATCTCATATGGGAGACAAATTGGTTGAAAAAATGCTTGCAGGGCATCCAACAAGATTCAACAAGATGTTCCACATGAAACATGACATATTTAGAGATCTACTAGCAGAACTCAGTGGATCTCATGGCCTCCATGGGTCATTAAGGACGATTGACCGTGAAGTGTTGGCATTGACTCTGTACATATTATCACAGAACGAGTTAATGCGTGGGCGATGGAATGCTTCCAACACTCATCAGAGACGATAAGCAGATACTTCTCAGTAGGTTTGAGTGCTTTTGTGAGCCTGTCCAAAATAACATCATAAAGCCAACTGATTTAATGTTTACACGAACTCCTACGGAGATTCAACATGATGCATGTTACACGCCATTATTCAAGGTACTGATTGAAATTCCTTTTATTCAGGGTATCTATATGAATTCCTGACATGAATAACTAAAGCGACCTCTTCAAGATTGCACGAGTCGGGAATGGAGAGCTTCACTTAAGGAAATGCTAGCATGGGAGTTACACCGTGTGAATATTAAAAATAATATTATTATCTTGTTCATTGTCATTGCAATAGTTTTAGACATTTTTTTGCTGTCATGATACTATTTGTTACTTGAGATGTATATATGTAATTATGTGCTATCTTCGTTGAAGTTTAGACTTAAAAATAGCTCTCAATGATTATGAAATTTATTATTATGTAAACGATGAATTGTTGTTGTAATACAGTAGAAATTTGATACTACAGTTCACAGTCTATTTTTTTAGCAGCATTTACATTTACAGATGTAACACCTAAAATCTCCATTTTATTTTTCTACCACTTAAACATTTCATATAACAAAATAATAACAATTTTAAAATTTAAAATGGGAGTATTTTAAATGTGATATGAAAAATATTATTTAAATTAATTAGTTCATTAATAATATGTAAATTTCTTAATGAAATATATATTTAATACATTCATACTAACAAATGTAATGCATTCCTCTAACAAGGCATTTTTTCATATATTTACCTAACTCTTAATTTTTTAACATATATTAATCAATTAAATATATATACATATCTAGGACTTCAACGTAATAATAATTAATTTATTATCTAACACTTAAATTTGCTACATATTTAATACTTTGAAGTTTCAATAATTTCTTGCATAATAAATTTTGCTCAAGGAGTTTAAAAAATGTGGTTATTACAGTCTTTGTTTAAATAGTTTTACCAAACAAGGGCAACATTGTCATTTTTCCAGAAACAAACTGCTCTACAGTTGTATTCACACAGCTGCACCAAACAAACAATCAGCTTCCCCGAAGCAACTTTCTTGGGCAGCGCAGCTGCAGTTGAAAAGCTGGAAAGCTGCAACTGCACCAAACAGATCTTGATTCAGCCACTGGCGGTAAGGCTTACGTCGGAAGGGAGCGTGGTATTTTTTGTGTTTACTAGTTTTGAAGGTGAAATAAATAGATATGATTTTTAAAATTGGTGGTATGACTTACGTTAGAAGGAAGCGTGTGTATTTTTTGTGTTCAATGGTTTTGAGGGTTAAATAAGTAATACGATTTTTAAAAGTCTTATTTTTTGTATTTCAGCCAGGGAGTAAACTAGTAGATTCGAGCTTGAGCCACACTTGGCTTGAGCCTGAGCTTGATTAATTTTATCTAGTTCGACCTCAAGCTCGAGCTCAACCTTAAGTCTACAAGTTCGAGCTAGCTCACGAGTCAGCTTGTTTATTATGAAAGAGAGAAAATAATATTAATTTAATATAATATTATAATAAAATGATAAATAGAATGAGAAATTAGAAAAAAAAAATAATAAATCATTTAATATAAAATTC